GGACAAGAAAACAGTTCTCTTTCCTCCCTAGTCTGATAAGAATATATAAATATACTGATTCCCAACACATTATGTATTTTTCTTATTGTTTATGTATTATTATTGTTTCTTTTCTTTTTTTCAAGTGCAGTAATGATATATAACTCAGGCCCTGCTACATGTTTCACTTAAGGCAAGATTAACCAATCAATTGTGTCTTAAATTGTAACCTGGCCACACAATCAATCAACTAATGGTGTGATAATACAAGAAATAAGCCACAAAATCATTCTACAAAAAATGCATAACAACTTGGTGGATGATTCCTTTCAGACTGTTAATTGAATATGTGACCAGGTAAGTCCCTATCAGGATTTCAGGGATAGATCTGAAACATGGAAGATGCCGAATTTTAGCCAGTTTAGGATTTAAACATCATTGCTGAACAAGAAAGATTTCTACACCTCCCTGCCAGTCTGCCATCAAACACCACCAGGGAAGGAATCCTGCCTTATCTGCACATCAAAGAGCAACTCACAAAGACACTCTCATGGACCCAGAGGAACAGACTTCCACCTTCAGCTTCCTGTGTGCAAAAATGAAGTTTATTTTCTACCTATGGGAACTTTTTACCATCTTTAATTTTCCCTGAGCCTGAAAAAGGGCGTGTGTGCCCAAAAGCATGCAGAAAAAGAATCTTTTTTTGCAATTTATTTGGTCTAATAAAATGTATCATCTCTGAACAAAGAGTTCTAGAGTTTTGCATTTCTTTAAGAATGCAGGGAGCACTGGTTAAAAATGCATCTAAATGGTGCAAAGTTAGATGCCAGAATGAGTAAATTGGCTTTATATTCTATAAACTGGTGCTAAACTAGAGCACGCAATATTGTCTTCTTATGTAAAACCTATGAACCTTCTCTATTTGGTGCAATAAAATGCAAGAACAGTCTTGCAACTAGCAGACTTAAACATCTTTAAAATTTTACTTAATATTTTATCTTTTTGTCAGAGTAGCTGAAAACTCCTTAAACTTAATATATTATATTATAAATGTAGATTAAGAGTGTAATTTATTTTTTTTTATACATAGCTGAAAAAGGAAGAAAAGGAGCAATTTCTTGAGAACTGCTTTAAAATGAGTAATTACTAAAAGGTGAAGTGTGAATATAAACAACCAGAAAGAATTTATTCTTCTGCAAAGAACAGAAATTAGAAATAAAAACTAATCCTTTCAAACATCAGATAGTGGTTCAGACTGACCAGTTGCAGGTTAGGAAAATATAGGCCTCAAAGGCAAACATTTGAGAGCTCTTAAACATCACAATATTATCCAATGCATGATGGAACACCACTATTTTAATAATATTATAGGATGCTGGGTTCCTCTATAATTTAGATGCCCCTGGCTTGGGCTGTATTAGCCCTGCAGTTAATCCACCCTTGAGACCTGACTGGTAATTATCTGAGTCGGGAGATTTATAACTCTTTAAACACGCTAAAATAGCATGTGTCAAGTCACAGAATTTATTAGTCATTTACTAAAAACCACCTGCGTGTTAGAATCTACTGGTGCTTCCTGTGATCTATGAGTTTCTTTCTTCCTGGAAGGAAAGTCAACAATTTCATTTTATGCAGGATTATGAAGAGACTAGTTTACCCACATAAGCAAATTCTTGGTTGGGAAGGGGAACTAGCTGTTAAACCTCCCTTATTCAAAAGTGAATTCCATTGTCAGGGAAATCACTAACGCCCCCAGTGTCAAGGGATTCTGCCTCATTCCTACTGCAGGATCTGCTGGAGTGTAACTGCTTCTTTGGTTGCTAGGTAACGACCAACTCATTATATGTCATTATCAGCACCCTTGAAAAAGGAAATTGGCATCTGCTTCCCATTTGGGGATACCAGTGATTGAAGTAATAGCACTGGAGCAACTGCCAAAAAAACCTTGGTCTCCCAGAGCTTGGTATGTGAATACAGCAGGTGCTGACTTCAAAATCCATCTTTGAAGTTTTAGGTTCTGTAGCTTTTGTGATCCTGACTAAATGTAGCATACAAAGGCAATAGGGTGGCCTATCCCAGCTACTGGCACTGATAAACCTCATTTTTAAATGCCAAGAATGGAGAAAATATCCTCCCCCTAAATTCTGGCAAACACGTGGCTTATCTGATTGGGGCAAAATTTATCACAAAGAGCTACTGTGAAGCCTGTACTAGAAACAGAGAAGAAATCAACAGTACTAGGATGGAAACAGATTGAAAAAAAACATTTTCCTCTTAGCCAGGGTGTGAAAGATTTGGAGAAACTTACCACGGTCATATAGGACTCTAGCAATATCCTTCAATAAATCTCTGCAATGTTTGTTAACTGTAAGCAATTTGGTCAATATACCAAAGACTACATATCTAACTTTAATGCATTTTAAGCTGTTTCTCTCATTAGCACTTCACAGTTTCTTTTGCAATAAGAAGAGAAAATAAAAGTCTGTCAAGGAATAAAAAAAAAAAACACACAAAACGAGAAAAAAAATCCACCCAGTTACCATATGTCAAACCCAGCAAATTTATTAATGTAATATCTTCACTGCACAAAGATGGTATCTACTAATTTTCATAATGTCTTCACGTGTCGACAACCATCAAAGTATCCACAGCACTAGCTGAATGCAAGCACATGAAGTAATTCCTCAAGACATGAATGCAAGCACATGAAGTAATTCCTCAAGACACGCATAGGTCCTTTTATAATCGGATCTCTATACCCATTTAAGTCAAATTTGAAAACAGCAAAAGTTTTAACAAAATAAAAGCCATGGGGGAAAAAAGGGGCAGGGAAGGAGCATTGAAGAGTGGAGAGAATCACTTTAAGCTTATGCAGCCCACTAGAATGGCCATGTTTGAGGAGCATACCATAGTACAGGGATGGCCAACCTGTGGCACAAGTACCACAAGTGGCACAGACAACCTTTGTGTGTGACACATGGCAGATTGGGGAGGGAAAGGGTAGCACAGCAGCAGACAAGAGAGGGAGCAGAAAGCAGAGCAGCAGGTTGGGCAAGGATCCAACAGCAGGGAGCAGAAAGCAGAATAGCATATCAAGAAGGGAGTATCAGGGCAGAAAGCAAAAAGTAGAGCAGCAGATTAGGCATGGGAAGGGGTTTGGAGTGGCATTCGGGGAGGACCTGGAGCATAATTTGTGGCACTCCTCCCAAAAAGGTTGGCTCCTACTGCTGTAGTACAAGGATTACTTTCCCTCTTACCTTACCCTGAGACTCAAATCACTTATTCTCAACAGAGTTGAAAACCAACTGTAGTTAAGTAGAAGTTAGCTGTTTTTAAGTTCTTCAGTAAATAAATATAACGTACAGGAACAGATGTGAATGGAATACTCAGAAGAATTTTAAATCACTACAAATAAAGCTTCAGCTTCTGACATCCTTCTGGGAAATTTGTGAGTAGTTTCACTGACATCACTGATAGAAACTAGGAACATCCTTAAGCACTATGCTGTTAGGACCATTAGCAATGCTGTTCCTGTACTTGAACATTTGTTCATGTGTCCATTTCCATATTTGTAATACTCAATTTATGTGCAAACTTTAGAATTTGTGTATTTACACTTTTAACTGACCACTAAGGGTTAGATGTTCAAAGGGCAGATAGGCACGCAATTCTTATCATGTCTGGTTTTTGGAAAATTTTCCATTTCATGACCAACAATATTAAGAAAATTGTCATATTGAATGAAATAGTTTGAATGTTTGTAAAGATTGCCCATTAGCCAGTTTCAGGAAGAAGATAGGATCTATCTCCTTATCTAGCTCATTGTTTTGGAGCTACGTGCGAAATGTCCTGACTTCGCCTAAAGTCTTAATTTAAATTGTATCTTTAGAAATTTTTTACAAAGAAAGTAAATATCCTAAATTCCGAGACATCAAAGCCTAAGGCCTTTTAACCAAATTGCTAAGAAAAGAGTATTTACAGTGATATGGAAGTCTCCCCAAGAATAATTTAAAAAATGCTCAACAAAGGTAATTTCTGTTGAGTAAGATCCGAGCCCAAATTTGGGAGTTATGATGAATTGAGTAGGAGGAGCCCAATGACGGCAGCTCACTGTAACTTACTGTCCCAATTTGGAGGTGACTTCACTTGCAGAACAACGAAGGAAGAATCGCAAGTATAAGGTCCGATTAGATTGATCGCCTAATCAAGCCTCTCCGTGAACACGAATCTCTTAGTTCACGCTGAAGCCGCGGAGCGCCCGAAAGGGACTGAAGGAAGGGGACGTAGTCCTATCACTGGTGAGCCCAGCTCATTGAATCGTATTGCTGAGGCCAGCCTATTGAACCGTACTACTGAGGCCAACCCATTAAATCGTACTACTGAGGAATGAAATCATATTTTGGTATTTGGCTTCTCGGAATTCTAGGATTGTAAGTATATTATGAAAAATAACAGTATTGATTCAAATTTAACTTTTAGTTGTAATTGTAGTTGTTTTGTAACACTAATTCTTATAGCATTGTTTGGGAAGGAAGTGCATTTGGAGCATTGTTTCTGATATATGCAATTATTGTGTTTTTAATGTTTGTGGTGTTTCTTAAAGCTAAGCAGTGTTATATACGTAGCAAAGAGTTTTAAAATAAAATTGTGTTGTATAAATTAAGTGTGTAATCATTGTGAAATCGTGCAATCAGCTAACTACTCCCCCAGCCAGTGCATCAAAACGAATCAGTAAATTGTGTGGGATTTTCTCTATTCCATAACCCACTAGAGACAAAAATAACCTACAACAGGTAAAACTCATATCTGCTTTTGCTCAGAAGCCTGAAAACAACACCATAAAAACAATGCAAAGGAGTGAATAACAGAAAACATAACTAACACCTAGAAGAAACATACAACACATACTCAAAGACTACTCCTCAAGGACATTTATTTCAATAACTGCTTAACTGGAAACTCAAATTACAATATATTTTGATTTTTTTTTCTGTGAAGCAAACAACAATTTAAGTTCTTACCTGCCTCAACAGTTTCTCTATTGCAGACATGACCATGAGTCCCCTCCAAACAACTGGTGCAGTTTCTTCTACCAAGAAACCCATAGACATGCTGAAATGGTAAAGAAAATATTTAACTTTCCAACATGATCCTAAGTAGAATTATCCTAAGTACATCTGTAAAGTAGCTTGATTTAAAATAAAACATATGCTTACCATTCAATTCCATAATTCTTAAGAGGCCTCATTAAGTTTTCTAAAATAGAAACAAAAGTTATTTAAAAAAAAGGCAGTTGTTCTATGAACACACTCCTATACATATCCTTTGAGATGCAGGTTTTTACACAAACCAGCAACAGGATCCCCCTTTTTTCACCCTCTCCAATACCCATACCTTTCTATATTTTCAAAGCAACAATCTGCATGATTGTGGGTTCTCAACCATAAACTTTTTTCAGACTACAGCAGTTTACTGGTACAATTCACTATCTGTTGGTCAGGCTTTGCATATATTCACATTTGATTTTGAGTGCTATTGATAAACCTACGAGTAAGCATAACAGCTCTGAAGGGGGAGAAAGAGCTATTGCTCAGGAACACACATCAGATCAGTTGTTACAATGTAACCACTACATTTGCTTGATCCAACAGTTACTCATTTAGTCTGCCTCTCCATGCTATAAGTATTGTGCAATTAACTTGCTAATTGAGTAATTACCTTAAAACCAGCGACATGTGCGAAGTAGCTATCATGCCATAAAAAGCTGCAACCAGCTATAAAGTTAGACCTCAAAAATGTGTACCAACTTTATAGCTGGTTACTATCAAGCTTTAATTTGCATGTGTAGCAGGGTCTCCCCTGCAGCTGGGGGGCCCATCAGCTGACAGGGCTCCCAACTGCAGGGGTGCAATATGCCCAGCCAGGGCTAGGAGTCCTGCATCTGGGTCAGCCGCAGCAGCTGCCAACTCTGAGTCGCAACAGCATGGTGACCCGGAGTCCTGTAGCTGTGGATACTGGGTGCCTGAACTACATGAAACCCTCTGGGGCCTAGTGGATATGGCAGCCATGATTCCCCAAGACCTGGGAGTTTCACATACCCCTGGGACTAGGAGATCGCAGCAGTCACATTTCCTCAGCCCCAGGGGTTTCACACACCCCTGAGTCTGAGAGATCATCGCAGCCATGGTTCTCCAGTCCCAGGGGTTTCATGTACCCCTAAGCCTGGGAGATTGTGGCTACCACATCCCCCAGGCCCAGGGGTTTCATGCAGCCCTGAGTCTGGGAGATCATGGCTGCCACAATCTTCCAACCCCGGGAGTTTCACAGACCCCAAGCTTGGGAGATCACAGCTGCCACAATCCCCCTGCCTCGGGAGTGCATGGGGTCCTTGCACAGCTGAGACCCCTCAACTGCCCTAGGACTGGACTCCCCCTATACCAGCAGTAAGGCATAATGGAATCTAATGCATGATCCCACAATCACACCTACATGCCATGAACATGTAGCATAGCAAGAGGTGCTATTGTGTGAACCATGCATTAGATCCCATTGCGCCTTTACCTGAATGCGTAGAGGGGGCCCGAGTTAAATCGCTGCTCTTTAAACAGCACTGTGTAGAGGTAATCATTAAATTATAACAGCATATATCTGTATCTGCTGATATTAGAGCAATCATTATACGACCCATCCATATTCTTAAATACCCTCCCAAAGGAATATAAGCCCTTGATTCGCCCTCCTCCACCAACAAAAAATCGCCTGTGTAGCTGCTGAGCTGCCTGTAACAGACAAAGAGTTCTCCAGCAACAATCTCACAATAACACTGTACCCAAAGGTGACAGTGACTTGAAGTCCACCCTCTCTAAAAACCACTGTCTTGGGAATGACTCACTACTTCTTAGCCTAAGCTGTGTGAGAAGGCACATGTGGCTACACAGAAATCTACTGCTAAAACTCCAGCTAAACTTTGTGCTGCTTTTTAGGATCTCCTTTGGATGTGGGGGGAAAGAAGCAGTGTAGAACTCCCAAAAGAACAGAGATGTTTACTTGGACTTTGCAGAGGAGATGCAAAAATTCAAGTCAAACAGGAATGCTGTTCACTCCAATGCCAAAGGAGGGAAAGAAAACTGCAATAATTCTACCAAAAGAAAAAAAGAGGGGGCTGAAAATTAGGGGCTACAGCTACCGTACAAAAACCAATGCCAATCTGAGCTCAGACACGACCAACAGCCCACAAAGTGATGGTGAGCACACAATGAAGTCCAAAGGAAGGCAAGTCAGAACTGGAAAAAGTGACAAAGAGATCACTGAGCAAAGGGACAGGGAAGATGCAGAACCTCCATCTAGGAATTAGCTTTTTGAGACATAACCAAAAATCTAGAGAAAGAACCCCTCAAAGAGCAGGAAGGAGGCTCAGCTAGATATAATTTAATGCATACTGCATATCCCCTCAACCCTTCCCTCCCTCTCTAAAAATAGTGGTCAATGCATCCAAGTGGGGAACAAAGGAATTCTGTCTTAAAAGTAGCTGCTTTATTTTAAAAGCATGCACTGGCAATAATTGACAACAAATGAAAGAAAAAATATTTTAAGTGACCATAAAGCATTCCCAAATATAAATTTTAGCAAAAGCTTTGATACATTCAAACTAAAACCTTTTGCAGGAAGATAAAATACTTTAAAAACACAACGCAAATAAATTCAATACATTCAAAACTAAAAACTAAACACAAATTACCAGTCAATCATTCAAATTAAATATTTTGAAAATACGAAAGAATGCTTGAAAGAAATCTCTAACTGGGCATTCAAATTACATGATTTTGCAGAAATACTGTCATATGCCTGTCAGATGCAAGTTTTCTAGTCAAAATATTTTGGTTTTCAATTCAAAAGCACAAGTACAAATCAAATTACTTGCATGTTGTGCTTGGATACAGAAAAGAGGTAGAAATAGTTGCTGACACATGAGGATTGATCTGGGCTGACTCTCAGAACTAGCTGGAGATAACCACTCTTTTCTAATAATTGATCTTCTGTTTTAGGTTGACCTGGATATCATTAGCATCCTCTCACACTGATTTCACTGAAATTTTCAAGCAAGTGGTTTTTGATTGTTGCCAGCACATTTCTAGGAAGTGCCGCTTTGTTTCTCCCACTGCAAAGAGACACGCTGCTCTGCAATGAGCATCTCTGTGAAGAGCGCAGCAACATCTGAGTCTGGGCAAACTCAAGCTATTCAACTTACTTGCACGGGGCCTTTTTCACACTCAGAAGCAAAATATCCATAATATCCATATACCAGTGTTTGTAATGCATTTAGTAGTCTTTACTAACGTACCTCCACAGTCGAGGGTTTCAAGTGTAACCCCATGTATTGACCACAATACATACCAATGCATGCAGAGGGCTACGTCCTCCATCCTGTTGAAAACCTAACCATGATAAAGGAGGAGACAAGCGAGGACATGGACTCAAACTATTTAAAGGTTCTGAGTCCAGAGATGATGGAGGGGGGAACACAGTCTGGAAGAAAGACAGAAGGCTGACAGATGCACTGAAAAGTGCACAATCATGCAGCCTCCCAGGCACCACATTTATGCTTGCAAGGTTTATGGAGCAAAATATCCAGTTTACATCCCTGCCAGCCACTAACTGTGGACAACTCTTTTTCTGGAGCCTAGAGGCATACTTCACCCCTTCACTCTCCAGATACCATCTTTCCTATAACATAGCATTTTCACTGTCCCTCAGTGGACAAGACAATAGCTGAGTACAAATACACACAGATATATGCAACCTGCAATGCAGCTTAAAGCAGCCAACACCTTGCCTGCTTTCTTCAGAAACATGATTATTTATTGCTGAAATGTTCTATTTTGTGAAAAGTGGGATTTACTTCGCTTGTTTTAGCTACAGTTAAAGTGTATTCCTAAGGCTTCACCACAGCCATAAAGTGTCTCAATGTGCTCTAGTAATTAATTTCCCTCGTGTCAAACTGCTCAAAAGCAACAGTCATTTTGCTTCTTCCTTCACACTGCCATCAGCCTCACAAAGAGTATGTAAAACACAACAAGCAACAGCAACAAGAATATTTGACATACTGAGATCCAGGCTAGCCATTAAACACCTCTACTTTCCCTTTAATCTTTCCCTTTAATGAGAAATGCACACAGCTTTCTCATGCTGCACCTGCTCTGTTGTTGTCCAGGTACCCAACGTTATGCACGGCTTAGAATCATGAACTGGGAAAACAAAAGATAAGCTGGGTTTCTGGGAATCACATTTGGCACTGCAAACCCACCCCACCGTGCAAATTTCTGGTTCACGAAAAATTTCTGGTGCTGCTTTTCAAAAAATCCAGTATCCCTAAAGTTGAAGACACTGAGGCATCTTTCCTGAGCACACATGAATAATGTCAATGAAATGTCCTTGGTGAATAACCAGCACTTGCATATTTACAGAAAAGTACTGTGATTCTACTAATGCACTCAGAAGCAGAGGGGATAGCACTGGTATGGATATGCTATGTATCATCTCGCCACATTTACAGAAGCCCAATGCATTGAGTTCCTCCAATTTTTTACCCACAAGAGCAATCCTGTATAGCAGGGCATGTTCAACAGACTTGCACCCCAAGATGATGACTACCCACTGTACATTTTCCAATCCCAAACTGATTACCCACTGACTGATGATAATCAGTTTGCAAGTTTACAGAGGATGAGTGCCACCAGTTTCTCTACTATCAAAGCATCTCTCCTCTCTGAACTAGAGGGCTAGGCCAAGTTCACCCTATATCTGCATATGCAAAAGTACAGCTGCTAAGAGCCTAGATTTGTTTTCTGATCCAAGCATAGAGCACTAGGATCATTTCATAGGTAAACACTGCTATTCCACGATAAGCAGTGAATGCCTGCAACATCTGGCATCCTTCATTTACCAATTATATCATTCATTATGCCTCAGTTGGCTTATTGCAAACTGTTTCTACTGTTGCACATCAGGCTGCAGTGGTAGTTGTAGCTCCAAAAATGCCGTAGTCATACAATCATAGGGTAGGATGGGACCTCAAGGGTCTTCTAATCTAACTCTCTACCAAATGCTGAATGCTGTATTTGTATACCATCCAAAACAAGTGCTTACCAAGTCTCTTAAAACTGACAAAGAAGGCAGTTGCTATTTTAGCAACATGGTGAGGGCCCTGGAAAATTAAGACAGCCCTGTTATCTCAGCATCTCTACTGATGATACCAA